ATTTTACTAGCTTCACATTTCTTTCGCACAAATTTCTTATTTACGTAGAAATAAACCTTTATTTCAATGAGAGAATTAATCGAATTATTTCTACGGGAAGCAAAACAGGCAAAAATTTAAATCATCTGCAAGATCGCTTTAATCCCTTTAGTTGCCCTTTACGCAGCACTGATTTAAACGAATTCAACATTAGATTTTTAAGGGCAACCAATTTTAAGATATAAAACGAAATATTTAACACACAATTTACGCAGCACTGTAGCAGTACTGCGTAAATTTTGCTTCATAATGTTTCGCTTTATTACTTTCAGATAATTTCGACTCTTTAGAATAACAGCAATAATAAGCGACGCGTAAACAGTACGCGTAATTTTCACTTCCAAATTTCCTTTCATGTAGGTCTAAACACTAAATACTAAACAATAACTAGGACGAGAGAAATCCAATATCAGTAGCTTCGCAGAGGAGAGATTATTATTGACTTGTGCTCTTTGGTGAAGTTTGTGGGATGAAGGCCGGTCAGACCTACGCGATGCTTTGTCCAATTTTCTGGGCATCGATGACGGAGACCCACTGAAGACTGAGTTTCACTGTCTTGCGCCCTCTTTTTTCTTGTCCACGACTCTGGATATTTTTCACGATATATTGACTTTGTAGACACGCACTTTCAAACCAAAATTATAATTTTCACTTCAAATTGTTTTGGCTAATTTTAATTCCAAATTTAATTTGGTGTGGTATTGTGACAAAGTTGAATGGGACCCTCAGAACATGAGGAGCGAACTCTCGCTTTTCTTCACGCTGACCTTCCCACTTGGGAACAAACGGCTGAATTTTCTAAGTGTCTAACTGCCCCCAGCTTGAATGAAGGGATCAGATAAAACAGACCAGGATTTTAAAGTTGGAATATCAAATGAGGACAGAAGAATGAACACCGACTCGGAGCAGAGTGGAAGCAGCCTGGCAGGGACGAGGGAGGCTAGATTACTTTTTTTTGTATTTTTTTTTATTGTAAGTAAATGAACAACAGAGACAAGCTTTATTTGTTCAATAAAATACTGTTATCTTCAGTACCTTTGCTGTTTACTTTGTAATCCAACTACTTGAGTGAACCAGATAAACCCCCTTAAGGCTCAGACACAGTAAAACATTACACGCAGTAAAGGCTGTTTTTTTCTGGCGACATGAACACAAGCGTCAGTTTAGTGAAGACATCAACAACAAAAAGATAAGCACAACTTTAATAAACCTACGCACTTATCATAATTCTTCTTCCTCGCTAAGAATTAACACAACATAAGCACAAGCAAGATAAACCAAAACAAAGTTTGTTTTGTTGTGCTCAGCCCGTGTTGTAGTAATCCTTTACGACGAGAAAACAAGAATAATCTTGGCGCTCACATTTTCAGTTTTGTATTTTAATAAACTTCAGTTGTTGATGACCTCGCTAAACTTAAGTTTGTGGCACGCTGCTAGTAAAAACCAGCCTTAAAATTACACTGTGTTTCGACCCCCAAAAACCCCGTCGGAAATGTTCCAAAGCAAAAAAAAAAAAAATACTGCGTTGTAATTTTGCTTTATAACTCTTTATAGGAGTAGAAACACAGTGCAAAGTTACTGCGCGAAATGTTTCACTGTTTGTCCGAGCCTTATAATAAGCCAAGTTCTGCTTCACATACTATAGAGCTTTAAGCAATCAACAAAGCGACGGCAGCAAGATCGGCACTTGAAAAAATAATTAGCAGTTATGCGAACATCATTTATTGTTTAAATTTTCTCAGCATTTTAACTGATTTACTTTGCACGCGCACGTTTTGAATTTGATATTTGATGGCTAAATGTTTGTGCTTCGTCTCAAATCCATGATTTTTTAATTACTTTTCTTGTTGCTTTGCGTACAAAAACGAAAAAACGTGTAAAAAGTTAAAGCGAGCGAGCTGGGAAAGCCTTCGGTCGTTTTAATTTACTCAGCATTTTAAATTTACCTGTTACTTTGAACTTTGTACGCGCGCGTTTTGAATTTGATATTACTCGGCTAAATGTTTGTGTTCTCAAAATCTTGAACTTCTGATTATCAGATTCTTTTTTTTGCATACAAAAGTGAATAAATGTGCAAAAAAATGAAAGCGAGCGTGCAATTTGAAGCCTTTTGTTAGGTGCCATTGTTGTTGCCGTCTTCATTTGTGATTGCTTGAGCTTCAAAAATTGGAAAAACATAAGGAAATAAATTTCAGACTTTTTCAGTAAGCGGTTTGTTTTTCATTAAACGGCATCCCACAAAACACATGCACATAGAAAAAACCCTAACAGAAAGAACTTTACTGTGCTCTAAATCCAAACTTACGTGTGATCTTCTTCAAGGCCGTTTTTGAGCTTCACGACTTTGCGTGACGAGCCTAAATAACGGCCGAAAAAAAGACTCCAAGTTTGATACGAGTTGTTGTTAATCAGAATTTCAATTTGTACATGTATTTATGGATTGCATTGTTATTGCAAAACAAACCGCAGATCTGACGGCCTTAAGAGTACTGTGAACTTTCAGTCCCAAGTTTTAACATGTTATTTTCTTTACTAACCGCTGCGGATTTTCCTTACCATCAGTTCTGAGAATTTGACTGTTGATCATGACAAAGCCTCCCCCCCCCACCCCCATCATAATTATGTTTATTTTCAACACCCTTCCGCTTGGTAATTTACTCGAGGAAGTAACGAGAAATAACATGTTGATCACTCTGGAATTGAAAAAGATGAGTGCAAATTTTCTAAATCTCCCCACTTTACCTCCTCGGAAGAACACTAAATTTTCCACGCTCAGTTTTATTCAGAGTTTGTCAATCGTACTTTAAAACACTGCGGCAGAAATTTTGGCGACTCTATTTTAATCATTTCATTGTTGCTGTTGTTGTTGCTGTGTAATTCTTATTCCATTTTGGAAGCAGTAGACTGATTTTATTGGTAAAATTAATTCATACTCAAAGCACTTGCTGTTGTTTTCCACAAAGAAGTTTGAAGGTTAGGCACGCAATCCAAATTCACAATCAATTAAAACAAATTAAAGGAATAATCCAGTTCACCCATGCCAAATCTTATTTTCTTGTGATAGAAACTGTGGATTAAACTTTCCCCGAACGTGGAAATGAAAATGCAATTGAATTTAAGAATTTAGACATTTTATTCACTTGAACTGAAAAATCACCTTCAAGAATAGGAAAGTAAGTTGTTGCAGTGTTGAATGTCAGTCAGAAATTCAAGCTCTCAAACAAGACAACAGATCAGTTTGCCAATTTGCCACGGCCGCAGTTTTACCTACGAACAAACTCTCCTCTCCTCCCACCGCCCAGCCCCCACCCCCATCAAATGATGGCTTAGGTTGGCTGACGACTTTATTGGTTGTATAACTATTGCAATCGTTGAAATAGTTAGCAGCCAGCAAGAAGCACTACACTGCACATCATCAAAGTGAAGTATCAATGTGAAGTGCATTCAGTCATTCCAAATATAAGACGTAAGCAAGAGGAGATTTGAAATGCACTCATCAAGTTCACAGAATACGAATATACAAGTCAGCACAGATATGCAGTCTACCAACTATACCATTAAAATACGAATCCAAAATAAGGCCACTGTGAATTGGTCAGACCCTTCAGCTGTCATACAGGTCAGTTCAAACATCGGTCTGTCTTTTGAAACAAGCGGGTTAAATGTCAGATTATTCTGCATTGATTCTGTTCAGCCAGAATAAAAACCAACAGGCGGTCAGTTATTCAGTTTGATAAATCCTCGTTCGGCCAGTATTCAAACAAGTCAGTCAGTAATAACTTTGGAATTTTTTTTCCATTAGCCAAGTAAGTGACTTTAAAAGTCCTAGTCATTATAGTCACCCTATCTATCACAGTCACCCCACTCCTCCCAGTCATCCAAGTCATTCCAGTCACCCTAGTCGTCCCAGTCATCCCAGTCATTCCAGTCACCCTAGTCGTCCCAGTCACCCTAGTCGTCCCAGTCACCCTAGTCGTCCCAGTCATCCTAGTCATTCCAGTCACCCTAGTCGTCCCAGTCATCCCAGTCATTCCAGTCACCCTAGTCATCCCAATTATCCCAGTCATGGTACTCATCCAAGTAATTCCAGTCAGGGTAAATGGGCTGAATAGGGGGACTAGGATAACCATCCCAGTCATCTTAGTTATCCCAGTCGTCCTAGTCCCCCTACTCACCTCAGTTACTCCTACCCATCCCAGTCATCTTAGTTATCCCAGTCATCCCAGTCATCCTAGTCCCCCTATTCACCCCAGTTACCATAACCATCCCAGTCATCTTAGTTATCTCAGTCATCCGAGTTACCCCAGTCAATTTAGTCATCCTAGTCATTGCAATCATCATCCCACTCCCCTCGGTCATCCCAAAACTCAGTGTCATGCCAGTCATCTCAGTCATAGTAGTCATCCATGTCATCCTAGTGATCCCAGTTATCCCAATCATCATAGTCATCCTAGTAGGCTTTCATAGATTGTGCTAGTAAAAGTAGCTCATTATACCAGCAGCACTGTTTTTTTTGGCCAAATTATGCTAAACTTATGCTCGTTTTTGCAAATTATGCTAACTTTTTTTTTAATTGTGCTCTTCCAAAACCATAGCGAAAAAGTCCAAAAATACATTTTCTTTAATCAGAAGCCGTTTATTCTTGTTAGCTATAATACATATCCTTTCTCGTGTCCGTTTTTTGTTCATGCTTCCAACTTCTTTTAACAACGATCTTCAAGAAAAAACACCGACCGTACACTTCCGGTTCCCGTACACCCCAGTCCCAGGCCCCCATTTCCGGGCTCAGTTAACTGCAAATACCACTAAAACATCGAGCAACGTCAGCGTATAATTGGGATTTGGGAATCAACGTGACTGTCAAAACCCAAAAATGTTCCGACAGTTATCAAAATATGCGAATTATGGTAGCGGTGCTACGTTTTAAAAAATGGGAAAAATTGTGCTAGTTTTCTCAAATTATGCTAAAAATTATGCTGGCACAATCTATAAAAGCCTACATCTTAGTCATCCCAGTCAATCCATTCGTCCTAGTGATCCCAGTCACCCTAGTCATCCCAGTCATCCCAGTTATCTTAGTGATCTCAGTCATCCAAGTCACCCTAGTCTTCCTAGTCATCCCAGTCACCCCAGTCATCCTAATCATCCCAGTCACTTTAGTCATCCTAGTGATCCCAGTCATCCCAGTCACCCTAGTCATCCTAGTCATCCCAGTCACCCCAGTCATCCTAGTCATCCCAGTTATCCCAGTCATCCTAGTCATCCCAGTAACCCTAGTCATCCGAGTGATCCCAGTTATCCCAGTCACCCTAGTCATCCTAGTGATCCCAATCATCCCAGTTACCCTAGTCATCCTAGTGATGCCAGTTATCCCAGTCAACCTAGTCATCCTAGTGATCCCAGTTATCCTAGTCATCCCAGTCGTCCTAGTCATCCCAGTCACCCTAGTCATCCCAGTCATCCCAGTCACCCTAGTCATCCTAGTGATCCCAGTCATCCTAGTCATCCCAGTCACCCTAGTGATCCCAGTCATCCCAGTCACTCTAGTCATCCTAGCGATCCCAGTCGTCCTAGTCATCCCAGTCACCCTAGTGATCCTAGTGATCCCAATTATCCCAGTCATCCCAGTCAACCTTGTCATCCTAGTGATCCCAGTTATCCTAGTCATCCCAGTCGTCCTAGTCATCCCAGTCACCCTAGTCATCCTAGTGATCCCAGTTATCCCAGTCATCCCAGTCACCCCAGTCAACCTAGTCATCCTAGTGATCCCAGTTATCCTAGTCATCCCAGTCGTCCTAGTCTGCTAGTGATCCCAGTCATCCCAGTCACCCTAGTCATCCTAGTGATCCCAGTTATCCCAGTCGTCCTAGTCATCCCAGTCACCCTAGTCTTCCTAGTGATCCCAGTCACCCCAGTCACCCTAGTCTTCCTAGTGATCCCAGTCACCCCAGTCATCCTAGTGATCCCAGTCATCCCAGTCACCCTAGTCATCCCAGTCACCCTAGTCACCCTTGTCATCCTAGTCATTCCAGTCACCCTAGTTATCTTAGTGATCTCAGTCATCCCAGTCATCCTAGTCTTCCTAGTCATCCCAGCCACCCCAGCCATCCTAGTCATCCCAGTCACCCTGGTCATCCTAGTAATCCCAGTCATCCCAGTCATCCTAGTCATCCCAGTCATCCTAGTCAACCCAGTAACCCTAGTCATGCGACTGATCCCAGTTATCCCAGTCACCCTAGTCATCCTGGTGATCCCAGTCATCCCAGTCACCCTAGTCATCCTAGTGATCCCAGTCATTCCAGTCACCCTAGTCATCCTAGTGATCCCAGTTATCCCAGTCGTCCTAGTCATCCCAGTCATCCTAGTCTTCCTAGTCATCCCAGTCACCCTAGTCATCCTAGTGATCCCAGTCATCCCAGTCACCCTTTTCATCCTAGTCATCTCAGTTATCCCAGTCATCCTAGTCATCCCAGTCACCCTAGTCATCCTAGTGATCCCAGTCATCGCAGTCACCCTAGCCATGTTAGTAATCCCAAAAACTTCAGTCATCTTTGTCATCCCAGTTGTCAGTATCATCCCAGTCATTCCAGTCATAGAAGTCATAGATTCCAGTCCCAGTCATGTTATTTATTCCAGTAATTCCAGTCATCAGAGTTATAGTAGTCACGCTAGTTATCCTTGTCATCACAGTCATCCCATTCAGTTACTAAGCCAGACAGTCATTTGAATAGATCAACGTGGTAAGAAATTTGAAGGGTACAATATGGACTGCATATCTGCACCAACAGGTACTATAATAACAACCTCATAATAATAATAATAATAATAATAATAATAATAATAATAATAATAATAATAATGATATGGATTCCATATTATTATTATTATTATTATTATTATTATTATTATTATTATTATTATTATTATTATTATATTAGCAGAACTTGGCTATTGATTTAAACGTTGTGACAGTTGAACAAAGTCGACAAATGCTAATCCAGGAGAAAACTTATAATGATCACGGTTTTTGCATTTAAGTTTTCTGATTATGAGTACTTCACCAACAAGTGCATGTCTCTTGGAATTTTAGCAATCAATCAAATAATTTTGTTCTTGAAACCAAAAAGATTTCAATGCGTTTCAGCTGTCTTTGTCTTGTGATTCCCTGCCGCCATGAAAGTGGCGATTGCAAGCATTTATTTAATATAAAATGTCCAATTCAAACAAAGTTCAACAGAAATGCTAAATGTACCCCTTAAAAATAATGGTTTTACTTGCTTGGTCTTAAAGTACCAATATCATTTCTTCAGAAGTCAATTATAAAATATTTGTTCGATCCTGTTGATTTCTTTTAAATACACTTTAGAAATGCCAGTCACAGAATCCCCGACAGCTGTAGCTGTTCAGGACTACACTCATTTGGATGATCCTGGGTTAAATCATTATATTTTCATCACAATAATTTTGACCACGCTGTACAACTGTACTCGATTTAATTTTATTTTGGAATTTTGCTCGTTTACGTTGCATTTTATTTTGCACATTTTTTTAGTTTATATTGTTGTTGTTGTTGTTTTACTGGAAAAAGTATACACTTGATGCTGAAATAACTTTGAAATGAAAGAATTAGGCACAATGTAACCATGTTACAACAGCTTTCCCTGGATTAGCTTAATCAAACTTTGAAATCACCTGGCCAACGATCCTGTTTATCTGGTTCACTCAAGAGCTGGATTACAAAGTAAAACATAGAGCACATACAGTACTGAAGATAACAGAGGCTCTTTGCTCGTGAAAGTCCTTGTCCAGTCTTCTGTGGCATCTGATCTGGAAACAAAAGTTTAAAATATTCAATAAAGCTCATCAGTTATTTTCAGAACAGACCAATTTCCCATTAACATTCAAACCTTGTTTTATGGACACCCAATTAATACAGAAACCTAATAATTACGGACACTTTGCTCTGTCCCTGAGGAAAGAAAGCCCTCTCTAAATCGAAGCTGCTTAATCTAGACATCCCGTTAATATGGACACTTTCTATGGCCCCCTTAGTGCCCATATTTAAAAGGTTTAACTGCATCACATTTTCATGAATACCAGTGAGCAAACATATTGGAATAATTTACCACATGATTATAATAATAAATTAACACCCACCCCTTGACTATACTAGCAAATAACACTTGTGGTATCAGTTTTATAGAACTTTTACAAATATAATTATTACAAGTGTACAGATGTAGCAATATGATTTCAGACTGTTTCCACTGATTTAGGACCAGTGGTTTTTTGGGCTTAATTTAAGTTCCAGAGGCCTGTTTCTCAAAAGTCCCAGCAACTTTTCAGGCTCGAAATCAAATATTCAAATTGAAATATAAAGAATAAATGCATTCAGTCATTCCAAATATAAGACGTAAGCAAGAGGAGATTTGAAATGCACTCATCAAGTTCACAGAATACGAATATACAAGTCAGCACAGATATGCAGTCTACCAACTATACCATTAAAATACGAATGTGAATTGCTCAGACCCTTCAGCTGTCATACAGGTCAGTTCAGACATCGGTCTGTCTTTTGAAACAGTCGGGTTAAATGTCAGATTATTCTGCATTGATTCTGTTCAGCCAGAATGAAAACCAACAGGCGGTCAGTTATTCAGTTTGACAAATCCTCGTTCGGCCAGTATTCAAACCAGTAAGTCAGTAATAACTTTGGAATTTTTTTTCCCATTAGCCAAACAAGTGACTTTAAAAGTCCTAGTCATTCTAGTCACCCTATCTATCACAGCACCCCACTCCTCCCAGTCATCCTAGTCATTCCAGTCACCCTAGTCATCCTAGTGATCCCAGTCATCCCAGTCACCCTAGTCATCCTAGTGATCCCAGTTATCCCAGTCATCCTAGTCATCCCAGTTACCCTAGTCATCCCCCTAGTCATCCTAGTGATCCCTGTTATCCCAGTCGTCCTAGTCATTCCAGTCACCGTAGTCATCCTAGTGATCCCAGTCATCCCAGTTACCCTAGTTATCCTGGTGATCCCAGTCATCTCAGTCGTCCCAGTCATCCCAGTTACCCTAGTCATCCTAGTGATCCCAGTTATCCCAGTCGTCCCAGTCATCCCAGTCACCCTAGTCACCCTAGTCATCCTAGTCATTCCAGTCATCCCAGTCACCCTAGTCATCTTAGTGATCCCAGTTATCCTAGTCATCCCAGTCGTCCTAGTCATCCCAGTCACCCTAGTCATCCTAGTGATCCCAGTTATCCCAGTCGTCCTAGTCATCCCAGTCACCATAGTGATCCCAGTGATCCCAATCATCCCAGTCATCCCAGTCAACCTTGTCATCCTAGTGATCCCAGTTATCCTAGTCATCCCAGTCGTCCTAGTCATCCCAGTCACCCTAGTCATCCTAGTGATCCCAGTCACCCTAGTCATCCTAGTGATCCCAGTCATCCCAGTCACCCCAGTCAACCTAGCCATCCTAGTGATCCCAGTTATCCTAGTCATCCCAGTCGTCCTAGTCATCCCAGTCACCTAGTCATCCTAGTGATCCCAGTCATCCCAGTCACCCTAGTCATCCTAGTGATCCCAGTTATCCCAGTCGTCTTAGTCATCCTAGTGATCCCAGTCATTGCAGTCACCCTAGCTATGTTAGTAATCCCAAAAATTTCAGTCATCTTTGTCATCCCAGTCGTCAGTATCATCCCAGTCATTCCAGTCATAGAAGTTAGCAGTCCCAGTCATGTTATTTATTCCAGTAACTCCAGTCATCCCAGTTATCACAGTCATCCCATTCAGTTATTAAGTCAGACAGTCATTTGAATAGATCAACGTGGTAAGAAATTTGAAGGGTACAATATGGACTGCATATCTGCACCAACAGGTACTATAATAACAACCTCATAATAATAATGATAATAACAATAATAATAATGATATGGATTCCATATTATTATTATTATTATTATTATTATTATTATTATTATTATTATTATTATTATTATTATTATTATTATTATTATTATTATTATTATTATTATTATATCAGCAGAACTTGGCTATTGATTTAAACGTTGTGACAGTTGAACAAAGTCGACAAATGCTAATCCAGGAGAAAACTTATAATGATCACGGTTTTTGCATTCAAGTTTTCTGATTATGAGTACTTCACCAACAAGTGCATGTCTCTTGGAATTTTAGCAATCAATCAAATAATTTTGTTCTTGAAACCAAAAAGATTTCAATGCGTTTCAGCTGTCTTTGTTTTGTGATTCCCTGCCGACATGAAACTGGAGATTGCAAACATTTATTTAATATAAAATGTCCAATTCAAACAAAGTTCAACAGAAATGCTAAATGTACCCCTTAAAAATAATGGTTTTACTTGCTTGGTCTTAAAGTACCAATATCATTTCTTCAGAAGTCAATTATAAAATATTTGTTCGATCCTGTTGATTTCTTTTAAATACACTTTAGAAATGCCAGTCACAGAATCCCCAACAGCTGTAGCTGTTCAGGACTACACTCATTTGGATGATCCTGGGTTAAATCATTATATTTTCATCACAATAATTTTGACCACGCTGTACAACTGTACTTGATTTAATTTTATTTTGGAATTTTGCTCTTTTATGTTGCATTTTATTTTGCACATTTTTTTAGTTTATATTTGTTGTTGTTTTACTGGAAAAAGTATACACTTGATGCTGAAATAACTTTGAAATGAAAGAATTAGGCACAATGTAACTATGTTACAACAGCTTTCCCTGGATTAGCTTAATCAAACTTTGAAATCACCTGGCCAACGATCCTGTTTATCTGGTTCACTCAAGAGCTGGATTACAAAGCAAAACATAGAGCACATACAGTACTGAAGATAACAGAGGCTCTTTGCTCGTGAAAGTCCTTGTCCAGTCTTCTGTGGCATCTGATCTGGAAACAAAAGTTTAAAATATTCAATAAAGCTCATCAGTTATTTTCAGAACAGACCAATTTCCCATTAACATTCAAACCTTGTTTTATGGACACCCAATTAATACAGAAACCTAATAATTACGGACACTTTGCTCTGTCCCTGAGGAAAGAAAGCCCTCTCTAAATCGAAGCTGCTTAATCTAGACATCCCGTTAATATGGACACTTTCTATGGCCCCCTTAGTGCCCATATTTAAAAGGTTTAACTGCATCACATTTTCATGAATACCAGTGAGCAAACATATTGGAATAATTTACCACATGATTATAATAATAAATTAACACCCACCCCTTGACTATACTAGCAAATAACACTTGTGGTATCAGTTTTATAGAACTTTTACAAATATAATTATTACAAGTGTACAGATGTAGCAATATGATTTCAGACTGTTTCCACTGATTTAGGACCAGTGGTTTTTTGGGCTTAATTTAAGTTCCAGAGGCCTGTTTCTCAAAAGTCCCAGCAACTTTTCAGGCTCGAAATCAAATATTCAAATTGAAATATAAAGAATAAGAGCGCGGCTCCTGGCTAGCGAACTACTCCATTTTGTTTCATTAACTGATAGTTTCATCATGTTAGATGCAAAACTATTGAAACCCCGATCTTTAATGTAAATAGCGACAGCTTACAGGGCCCATTAATCACAGGGGCTTTCGAGAAATGGGCCCCAGGTCACTAACATCCTGCCGTTTAGTGTAACGTTTGTGACCATTACTCGAGGATCGCTTGAATACCATTGCCATACTTTATGTTTTGTCCTTCACTGTTCAGATAATACCTTCACCGTCAGGTGTGTGTGTGTTTTTAATTCCTTTAGTTTATTTCTTTAGGTTTTTCTCTGTGTACATTTCTTTGTTTTGTATTTATTGTTTGGTTTGATTATCTATAGCTTTCTTTTGGTTTAATTACTATTATCAGAAACTGTTGTACAAGAAAACAGAAAATTGAAGTTCATTGGAATGGAGTAAAGAAGTTCATTTGTTCAGAGCGTGATTAACACAGACTCTAAACAAGGGATACACTTGTAAATTACCACTTGTAAAAGTTTTATTAAATTGACCCCTGCTTTGCAGACCCCAGTCAGTTCGTAAGTCAGTTGCTCAGTCAGTCAGTCAGTCACTTAGTAAGTTACTCAGTTTAGTCAGTCATTCAGTCAGTTGCTCAATCAGTCATTCTGTCAGTCAGTCAGGTACCCAATTGCAGAGTCAGTCAGTCAGTTGCTCAATCAGTCATTCTGTCAGTCAGTCAGGTACCCAATTGCACAGTCAGTAAGTCAGTTGTTCAATCAGTCATTCTGTCAGCCAGTCAGGTACAAAACTGCACAGTCAGTCAATTGCTCAATCAGTCATTCTGTCAGCCATTCAGGTAGCAAACTGCACAGTCATTCAGTCAGTCAGTCAGTCAGTTGCTACGTCAGTCATTCTGTCAGCTGGTTAGGTACCCAAATGCACAGTCAGTTGCTCAATCTGTCATTCAGTCAGGCGGTCAAGAACCCAATTGCACAGTCAGTCAATCAGTCATTTAGTCAGTAGCTCAATCAGTCATCCTGTCAGCCAGTCAGGTACCCAATTGCACAGTCAGTCAGTCAGTCAGTCAGTTGCTCAATCAGTCATTCTGTCAGCTGGTCAAGAACCCAACTGCACAGTCAGTCAGTCAGTTTCTCAATCAGTCATTCTGTCAGCCAGTCAGGTACCCAATTGCACAGTCAGTTATGAGTCAGTCAATAAAAATTGCTCAATTAGTCAGTGTCTTGGTACTGTAAGTTGCTCATTCAATCAGTTATACATAATCAGTCATTCCATCAGCCAGTCGGTATGTTAGTTACAAGTAGACAGTCAGCCAGTAACTAAGTTGCTCAGTCAGTTAGTCAAAATGGTTAGTTGAATAGTTAAAAGTATATGAAGCAAATTTTTAAAAAAATCAGTTGATCAGTCAGTCACTTTATGAAACTTTAAACCAAACAGTTCTGTTTATCTGGTTTACTTAAGAGCTGGATTAAAAGACAAAACATACAGCACTTACATTGCTGAAGATAGCAGAGGCTCTGGCTCACGAAGGTCCTTGTCCATTCTTTCTGTGGCATCTGATCTGGAAACAAAAGTTTAAAATATTCAATGAAGCTCATCAGTTATTTTCAGAACAGACTAATTTCCCATTAGAGTGAAACCTTACTTTACATACACCTGCTTAGTTCACAAAGCTTATTATTACAGACAGTTTGGTTTGTCCCTAGGGAAAGAAAGCCTTAATCTTTCTCTAATTAATTTAACCTGCTCAATACAAACAACTTGTTAATATGGTCCACTTAGTGCCCATAACAGTCCCCTTCCCTCCTCACACAGTCAGTCACTCAGTTAGTTAGTCAATCTGTCAGTTAGGTAGCCAGTCAGCTAGTCAGTGGCCTTTTCAGCTCAGTCAGCCAGTTGGTTGCTTGAAGTTAGTCAGACACTTGGTGAGGTGTTCAATCAGTCAGTCTTTCTGTCAGTTATTCAATCAGTCATTCTGTCAGCCAGTCAGTCAATCAGTTAAACAATCAGCCAGTGACTCAGGTACTCAGTTATTCAGTAACTTAGACAGTTAGCCAGTTGCTGAGTTGCTCAGTTATCTAGTCAGCTGATTAGCTAGTAAGTAAATTGGACAGTTTCTCATTCAGTCAGTTGTTCAGTTTGTATGTCAGACAGTCACTTAGCTAGTTTCTCAGTAAGTAAGGCAGTTGCTCAGTTACTCCTGAGTCAGTCAGGCAAACGGTCAGTTACTTAGTTTGTCAGCTT